TCTGGAATTATATAAGGCATAAAACTATGACTACACGATTCCCTGGTGAAATGGCTTTGGACGGGTGCATCTACGATATTCCCTATAATATGGCGGTGACTCTACCTACGAGTTGGTTAATTCGCACTTATGTATTCCCCACTTTGCGTGATCATGAACTTGTGTCAAAAGACAGGTGAATTTCCTAAGATCTGGAAGCGATCACAGATAAATCCCGCTTTCAAACGTGGTGATCGTAACAGCATTGCTGATTATCGTCCCATCTCCATAATATCTAACTTCGCTAAAGTATTTGAGCAAATCATCTATGGAGCTATTTATCCGCAAGTTCAATCGTTTGTATCGCCGCACTAGCATGAGTTTACTAAGCGCTGTTCAACCGTTACTAATCTTGCGGTGATTACAGAAATAATATGTATGTGGATTCCTGGATGGGAGTGGTGGCCAAGTGGATGTAGTGTACACTATATCCACTTCTTCTACTGTCTTTTCCAAGGCGTTTGAAGCTCAGTATGTTTGGCTTTTCCCCTGGGCTCATATGTCTTGTTTCATCGCTGTTGTCAAATAGGGCCAGTTATGTATTTTATAATGGCTTTGCTTCGGTGGTCCCACAGGGCTCTAATTTGGGTCCACTACTGTTTGCAATATTTATTAACAACTTATTAAACAGATATTAGCCTAAACAGATATATGATCTTAAGATATTTCGTACTATGACCTCGGATGAAGATGTGGCTTCGATGCAGTCGGATCTTGATATCTTGATGGTGCGATCGTAATCAGCTCAGGATTAATGTGGTGCTGTCACATTTACGCGTAGACCTACTCCTATCCATTTATCTTACTGTATAGAGTATATCTTACTTATATTGAACCCCACTGCTTAAGTTGACTTCTATCATAGATCTAGGTGTAACTTTTGATAGCAGACTATCGTTTTTACCGCACGTGGAGTATGTCGCTTCCTGTGCTGCAAGGATGCTTGGGTTGGGTTGGGTTGTGCTCCGTACTTCACGTTTATTCACGGATTCTGCTTTATACACATCGCTTTTTAGGGCGCTTGTTCTGCCGAAACTGGAGTATAGTTCCGTTGTATGGTTACCCCATTATATCTCGCATCGTCTTATATTGAAGAGAATTAAACAAAGTTTTTTAAAGTACCTTTGTTCCAACGTCATCATTTTTCTTCGCTTGACACTCGAGGGGATAATCTCGACGTTAGATTTATTATAAAACTGGTGAGTGGTGAAACGGATTGTAACTGGTTACTTTCTTGCATTAACTTCAGTGTACTCAGCCACGCTACCCGATACAGCTATGTCTTCTATTTGAAGAATAGTAGAGCCAACGTGCAGGCTAGCGCTCCGCTACGAAGAATGTGCAGTTTGTTTTTCTGTGTAGTATAATATTGTCCTGTAATTGGTACTTTGTTGGAAAATAAAGATACATATTATTATTATTATTATTAAAGCGTGATATAGTTTAGATACAAAAAAAGACTTCTTTGTCTTACTTTTGCTGTTTACAGACATTTTTGCTATGGGATAAATGAATCAAGTGAGAGACGTGGTTATGATAAACCTTGATTATTATCAATGCTGTAATATTTCCAGGGTTCCTGACTCAAAACTGCTGATTTCCTAGAAACCCTAGCTCGTGCAAATTTGTATACATGTATTAAAGAATATCATTGTTGATTAAGTTAGGTTGGATTCATCCAATCGTAACATTGTTATTATTATCAAAATATTATTTTCACCCTCTACCCTCTTTCTCCATTTCCACACCCTCGGCTCCTCGGCCCAATCATCCCCTCATCCATCCCTTTGTCTCCTCAACCCCACAACCATTCTCATCCATCGTTTCCTCTCTCCTTAGATCTGCCCTCGGTCCATTTCCTCCTCCCTCAACTCACTGCACCCATTCAACATATGTTCCAACATTTCCCATTCCTCCCTACACAGCCTACACCATCTCTCCTCATCGGCCATCCAGTATATGTTAGCACTCTCCTCACTTCCACAACGGAACCTAGCCACCATCTTCTTCCCTTCCTCGTCTCCTTCCAATAACAAGTATCTAGGCAGCCCCTCCGTAATTATGTCCCTGTACCTTTCGTTATACCTTCTCTCTTTTATTTGTTATTAACATTATTATTAAAATGTGATATAGTTTAGATATAAAAGAGACTCTCATCTCTTTTGTACGTGCCATTCTTTTAGTTTCAGCCTTATCAGCTCAGGTCTAACACATGCCTTGTATATCCTCACTTTACTAGCAGTTGTCACACACTTATTTTTTCAAACGATGTTTTTTAGGGCACTCGCTATCCTGGCTACTTTACTCATCTAATGTCTCACACTCTCTTTCAAGTTTCCAAATGGTGAGTTTATTATGCGTAAATAGTTAAGTTCGGATGCTTGTTCGACTATTCTGTTGTTGCATCGTCGTGGTTGACACTTCCATGTTGGGCCTCTTTGTTAAATGCCTGCAGTAGCCACTCTAGACCATCCCTTAGTTTCTATAATATTAGAGTGTATACCCCTGTGCTTGAGTTCTTCTGCAACATCCGTTAGCTGTATTATGTCGAATGCCTTAGTCAGGTCTATAAAGCACATATACACCGGCTTATTATACTCAATGGCCTTCTCTATTACCTGCCTAACGACAAAAACCGCGTCGATAGTCGAACGATTCTTCCAGAAACCTTGTTGTTCTTCACTCCAAGTGATATGGTGTAAGATGTGCAGACTCAGTATGCAAGTAAACAATTTCAGAGAGGTGTTCAGTAGGGACATGCCCGATAATTTGCCGAATCCCATGTTTTTCCCTTTTTGAACAGCGGTATTGTGGCACTGTTTTTCCATTCATAGTATCTTATTGTATAATTTAGTAACCTGTTCTGCTAGTTCTTCTCCTCCGTTTTTCAACAATTCGTTCGGGATGTTATCCGGCCCTGGGGCTTTGTTATTTTCTTCGATGTTTTCCATTTCCATATCCGCTTTTGTGTCAGTTATCCCAATGTTCTCTTTTTATTTTCCGTATTCTATTATTCTCTCCGTTTCTAATTTCCGTATATTTTATCTAGTTGTTTATGTTGTTGTTTGTCTTACGTTGATATAAAATGGAGAATATTAATTTTATATTAACATCAATCGTCGTTTTATAACATCCACGTGTTCAAATTTAATAAAATATTTAAAAATCAATTTCTTATTAATCCCCTTGAGAATACAATTTATAAATTATGTTTAACCGCAATTCTCGTTGACGTGTAGTTTTCTATATGGTTGATTATTTTTCTTCATACTGTAATTTGAAAGGATGAAATAGATTGATTGAAGGGTCTACGCTCCGATAATTTTATATAATCGTTTCAATCGATAGAAAGTTTAACGAAAATTTCTAATGTTTAATGATTGATTATTATCTCCTGGAAATGTGCGGAATGTCACATTCAATTTGAGTCTACCTAAAAATAATGAAAAAATAAATAAAGAACCATTAAGGTGGTCTTTATTACAGTTTACTTTATAAAAACCATTAATGATGCATTTTTTATTTTAAGGTCCAAGTCATTGGGGTGAAAGATACCATCAATGCGCGGGAAAACATCAAAGCCCCATTAACATCGAAGAACATAACGTTGAATTAGTTACATTACTCCCAATTATTTATAAAAATTTTGATATCCCACCGGAAAGAACCACTTTAACTAATAATGGACATACAGGTAATTTATTAAATTAAAAATAAAGATGGGACTAATTCAATATTTGTAGTCGTCTTAAACATTTCAACCACGGAAAAACCAACGATAACAGGCGGACCATTAATAGGTCATTACGAGTTTGCTCAATTACATTTTCATTGGGGTTCAAACGACGAGGAAGGATCAGAAAATACGATTAATAATTCAAGCTTTCCAATGGAAATGCATATGGTGTTTTTTAGTTCATCGTATGGATCAATGTCTGAAGCGGTTTATCATCCAGATGGAGTTTGCGTTTTAGCATTTTTATTTTCGGTAAATTAAATAATTCATCATTTTCGACGTCATCACCATTTTACACACGTTTATTTACATTTTACACCGTATAAAGACATTCGTACACATAAGAAGTTATAAATAGCTAGTAAAAACTCAGACGTATATGACAATGGATACGTAATCAATCGAAAATTTTCTTTGAATTAGTATTAACCCGATAATAATCGTTTAATAAAGTGTTAATTTAACAAAAAAAATTTTTGTAACAGTCTGTGTCTACGTTTTTGTTTGCTTTTGGTGTTAATCATTATTTTTATTCGAATCTCTCAATGAAACTTTTTTTAATTTTAGAAAAGCGATGAAATAAATCGACTTTATAGCCCGTTAATCGAAGCCTTGCCACATGTAAATGATGTCGATACGAAAATCGAAATGGAAAACTTGCCCGGTTTCGACGACTTATTGATTAACAATAGGTCGACTTATTTTACTTATAGCGGGTCATTAACGACGCCTCCGTGTTCTGAGGTGGTGACGTGGATTGAATACAGAAGTACGATTCCTTTGGCACATTCACAGGTGAAATTACATTTCGTATCTCTTCTAATTAATCATTAATTTATTATTATAGCTCGAAGAATTTCGTAAGTTAAATTCACCACATGGGAAACTCTCACATAACTTTAGACCCACGCAACCTTTACATGGAAGAGCGATACGTATGAATTATGATATATATCATGTTAACGAGGAAAAAAATTCCCATGACAAAATCTGTTTCGATTTGGTTTTATTGATTTTATGTAGCTTTCTACAATTTCTTTTTTAGGAGATTTATTTAGATGTTATTGTCACCTTTTTGCCATTTTTTGTTGTTGTTGTGATTTGTATACGATTTTTATTTTTATTTAAGTAGAAAATGTTGATTGTTATTTATTGTAGTTAAGAGAAATTAATAAAAAATGATATAGTGAAAGGTAAATTTAAATATTTCATGAAATTAAACACCACACTTGTTACAAATACGATTCAACTATTGAGTAAGTTCATTTTAAAAATTTTGAGATATTGATACCTGATACAGCTAGGATTTAGTATAAAATGTCTTCACCTAATCAAACTCAACATCAGTATCACAACAGCGATTGTCATCAAAACCACAGCAATGTACTCAAAGGTAATAAAATGAATTATTAAAAAATAAAAATTTGATAATAAAAAATTTTTAGTTAGCAATTTTGCTTTTGGTAACTGTTGGAATGGCTCAATGCGGATTTTTAAATTACACCCCAAATTCGAGTTATGGGCAACAATCAAGCTATGGAAACTCCAACAACGGATATCCTGCTAGGTTTGATTACAAATTTAAATAAATAAAAAATCGATTACTTTTAAAAATCTTAGTTCCTCAATAAATCGTCAAGATACAACAAACGGACACAGAATTTTCGGAGTCGCTCGATCTTACCACTATGGGACGTTTAATCCACGTTATGGAGGTGGATATGATGGAAATAATTTTAGAAATAATAATAATAACTTATACGGATTCGGAACTTCAAACAGATACGGTAAATTAATCAAAATTTCCAATAAAAAGAATTAATAATAAACTTTTAGGTGCCAGCAACAATAATGGAGGATATGGATACAATTTAAACAACAATCAAGGATCTTCCAATAACCCTAATACAGGTTTCAATGGAAATTTAAACGGAAATAATTTAAATAGAGGTGGAAATTACGGCTATGGAAACGGTTATGGATACAACACTTATGGATATGGATCCACAAGTAACAACGGACAAGGTTTTTTTTTCTAAAATTAATCATTAAATAAATTTAAAACATATTTGTATGGTTCTAGGTCAAATCAATTCCAGTTATAGAAGCAACGGAAATTATTAAAGATTTAAAACAATAAATCTTCATAAAAACTATAAAAAGTTCTTTCCTTCCATTATAATTACTGTAATTACTGCTATGTAGAACTTAAAAAAGAACTTTTATGCGCTTTGGAGGTTGTTTTTGTAATTATATACGCTGAAATATATATTAATAAATTAATATAAATACTAAATTGTGATTTAAATATGTTTTTAAACTTACCTCTTTTAAAATTGATGCAGAAACAGTAGTATTCTTGTAGTGTATTGTGATTGTTGATGAAGTTGAGGTTGATTTATAACACGTATTCGCTGTTAGTTAAGTCAGTTTCGATATTCCAAAGAATAAGTTCTTTGTCCCCAAGGAGTTCTTCAAGCTTGTCGAATGGGGAGGATAATGTTAAAAGTTAATATGTTGAGTTTTAATTAATTAAAAGTACCATTGAAACCTATAAGGGATAAAAGAGAGAAAATAATTAATAAATTGAAAAAAAATTTAAACATGTCAAAATGTCAAACTTAAATTGATAAAATGGTGATCAACCTGAAGCTAGTAACGAACCTTCTCGATCACTAAAAAGATTCCTAAATATTTGAGTGAAGAAATTTATTTTCGTAACTATATACGCCCTTACACGTTGATCTTAATAAGTAAATATTATAAATTTTCATATAAATCAATAAAAAAAATCGTAACCTCAAACAATAAATATACAAATCGATGAATTCAAATACTTACAACGAATTTTGCTGGAAATCTCTTGAAATTGAGAAAAAATCACTTTATAAACAATTAAAATCCATCTAAATTGTTTAAATAAAGAAATATTCACTAAAAAAACGTAGTTAAAAATGAACTATAAACAATAATAAATTTATGAAACAACTGAGCATCTAATAATGGCTACCACCATAGACTCCAAAATAAAATTTTGAGTTAAAACGGCTATTTATTAATTTATTATGTTATTTTATATGAAAATTAATAATATTAAGATTATTTATGAATTAAATTAAAAATTAAATTAATCAGTTTAAAAATTAAAAAAATAACGTACTAAAAAAGAAATTAAAATTATTACCAACCTTAATCTAGTAAGAAAGCCGATTGAAAAGTTACTAAGTAAGAACGCACCAACTGAGAAAGAAGCGTTTGCTATTGTTGTTGTTGTGTTTATTTCACGAATTAGAGAAAAATAGTGAATTGTCCCTGAATTTGAATCGTTTTAACAAAAAGAACTGTGATAAATACAACCGTTAAAACTCAATAAACGTGTAAATAGATGCTGAAATTATGGATATTTCCGACGAAGATATGGCAAAGCTTGTGTTGGGTAAAAGTTTGTTTCTTTGGCGGGAAACAGGATTAAACATACGATTAATTATTGTTTTAGGCTACTTAAGGTCCGAAAAGTGTAAAGGTGCCGCGAAAATGTTTGTACAATCATCCAGACATTTGCAGGATGCTCAAAATAGTATCCGTAGAGCAAAACATTTCATTACCCATAAACATGGATATTGTTTGAGGGAAATTCTCAGGGAATATGCTAAATTATACACTATAAGTAAGTAATTTTAGATGGTACAAGTAATTATTAATGAAATTTTTTTTGTGTTTAGTTATTGAATATTTGGAAGATCTTTCTTATATGAGTGATATAACAACGAGAGATATGCCAAGTAAACTTATTTATTTATTGGAAAGAGCTCAATCTAGAGAATCTTACACACCAAGTTTATCACCGAGAAGTCGAAGTAGTACTCCGGTAAAACAACTTCAAAATACAAAACCATTTTCGTCACAAAATCTCTCAAGAATTGATGAAAAATCCCCGTCGGAATTTGATGTAAATACAACTCCCCTTCATGATCTTCCTGGTCATTTTAGCTCTAATAATAATACGTCGGAAGAAAAGCGACATAAATCGACTGAAGAATCTGATCTTACAGATAATAATGATAGTGAAGGAAGTATTGCAAAAGTTTTACTTGAAACTGTGTTAGAAAATCGGGAATTTCAAGAAAAATTAGTTGAAAACATCAACTCGGTTATCCAAAAACCTTCAGAGGAAAATGTTGTTGAAAACAACCCGGTTAATAACGAATTAGATTCAGCTATAAAAGCAATTGTAGATAAAACTGAACATGATCCAGTTTTCGAACGATTATTGAGTGATTTAATCGGTCCTGAGAAAAAGTTAGAAACTGATTTAGATGAAAATAAACAGAAAGAAAAAGTAAGTGAAGAAATATCCCAACCGGAGGTACCAGAAGTAAATTTGGAGTTAAATCCAACAATTAATCCAACAGATGAGGTTAAATCAACACCTCCAAAACGATCAATGCTAACTTTAGAAGGAACAAAAGTTGATTTGCCCCCAAAACAAAATTTAACTGTAAATACAAACACCGGGGAAGTTATTTTATATGATGGTACATTAGAAAATTACATGAAAGAGCAACCAATGAATTCCCAATCAACAACAACATCAGTGAATTCTACATGTTCTTCCAATTTAGTGTTAAATGCTGGATTATTGATGGTTCAACCACAAACGGTTGTACAACAACCACAATCTTATTTTCTTTGGAATAGTTCCCAAGTTGTTAATATGGGTGTTCCTCAATATAAAGTTAATGCCATATCAGATCATGATATCTTATCAATGCCCACAGTTATTGTTTGTGATGAAAATCAACAAGAACTAGGTATAAACAAAGGTGTGGAGGAAATAAAAGCGAAAACCTTAAAAAAAATCGCACCAAAACCAATGGTTGATATGTCCAAAGGAAACAAAAAATCAAAGAGGAAATCACCAAGAAAACATAGCCATTCACCAAAAACAACAAAAATTCAAGATGTTGAGAAGAAAGTTGAGATTAAAATTGAAGTTTTAAGAGAGTCACAAAATCATCAATCTAATTTGGATAATTGTGAAGGAGATAAAATTGAATCTAAATCTAGTTCTGATAAAATTGTGAAAGAAACAACACCAAAAAACAAACTAATTGATGAATCAACTTCCACTCCAAGAAGTGCATCTCACATTCGCATTTTAGACTTTGATTTTACCCCGAAATCAATTTCAAAACAAATTAATAAAGAACAGAAACCGCGAAGTGGGTCATCACCGAAGAGGAAATCGCCGAATACGAAAGGAAATCATCAACCTACAAAAATTTCAAAATCATTGTTTAGTTCACCTGCAAAGAATCAGAGAAAGAGATGTGGGGGTGATAGTGAGAAGAAAGGGGCTAAAAAAAGTTGGGATGCAGATTTAAGGGCTTTAGCAGGTAAAAAATATAATTTTTTATTATATAACATTAATAGTTTATTAATTTATTTTTTTAAATACATTTTTGAATAAAGTTTAAACGTCAATGTGACACAAATTCAATGTCACCAATTGTAACCAACTTCACAACAATTTGTCAAAAGTAAATGTCAATTTTATGAAACGTCATATTTTTTTTTACTAAAATTAATTATTAATTTATTCTTAAATCATAGGAATAGAGGAATTTGTTTAGGTTTTTTTGATATTTAACCGTTAGAAAGTCCGAAAAAAGAAAATTAAATTGACGTTTTTTGAAATTTTGTCGTTTCAAATAATTATTCAAATCTGTCAAGTTGATTACCTGTGAATAATGATTATTCACTGTTATTATTCACTCTGTGAAAAATGACTACCTTTGAAAACTCATTTTTTTAAATAAATTTTTGATTAAAGTTTAAACGTCAATGTGACACAAATTCAAAGTTACCAACAGTAACCAACTTCACAACAATTTGTCAAAATTAAATGTCAATTTTATGAAACGTCATATTTTTTTTACTAAAATTAATTAATTTGTTCTTAAATCATAGGAATAAAGGAATTTGTTAAAGTCCGAAAAAAGAAATTAAATTGACGGTTTTTGAAATTTTGACGTTTCAAATAATTATTCAAATCTGTCAAGTTGATGATTAATGATTTATAAGGGAGTCGTGGACAAATGTTATTTTTTGTTTGAATTAGTGTTGCCAGGTCCTTAAATTTGGTCTTTTCCCCAGAATTATTTTAAAAAGTTCCCAGCTTTTGAACAAAATTCAAAAACAAAATTCAGAAACCCAGATTTAGAAAGTTGCAAAACCTGTATTAAACATATATTTTATTATTATTACAAAAATAATACACGTAATCTTATTTAGTATAAATATACTATTATTATGTTTACTTATTATTGACATTTCAGTGCTTATATTGAAATTAATAAAACTTTCATTCTGAATTTTACTAACTAGCGCTACCTACCACTACCACTAGAACTAACACAAGACCTAGAAGAACTAGAATCATTCGGGTTTAGCCGTCTTGAGAGACGTGCGGCTAAACCCGAATGTTTCTAGTTCTAGGTCTTGTATATTATTGTTACCAGTTGACATTCTAACTGTCAAATTTGATGATTTTGCATCACACGAAGATTTTAATATCAAAAGTGACATTTGAATGACATCTTAAAGATTAAATTTATAATTTTCTAACAGTTTAACATTCTAATTGACATGTCAACCTTAATTTTTTCTAGCAATTGACGTTCTAACTGTCAAATTTGATTATTTTGCATCATACGAAGATTTTAATGTCAAAAATGACATTCCAAATGACATGTCAACCTCAATTTCTGCTACCAATTGACGTTCTAACTGTAAAATTTGATGATTTTGCATCACACGAAGATTTTAATATCAAAGTGACATTTGAATGACATCTTAAAGATTAAATTTATAATTTTCTAACAATTTGACATTCTAATTGACATGTCAACCTCAATTTTTTCCAGCAATTGACGTTCTAACTGTCGAATTTGATTATTTTGGATCTCACGAAGGTTTTAATGTCAAAAATGACATTTAGATGACATCTTAAAGATTAGATTTACAATTTTCTTGCAGTTTGACATTCCAAATGATATGTCAACCTCAATTTTTGCTACCAATTGACGTTCTAATTGTCATATTTGCTGATTTTGCATCACACGAAGGTTTTAATGTCAAAAATGACATCTTAAAGATTAAACTTACAATTGTATTTTACTTGGGTTGATTTTGAACAGCCTTGCATGTCTTTAAATGCTTCTAATACATTACATGCTTTTTAACAGCAGACAAAAGTCAAATGTAATCCTCTTTGCACACAAAAAAATTAATTCCCTTATCGCTGAGACCTATCTAATTTTTAAAACCAACTCCAAACGTGTGGTGGCAACACTGATTTGAATCATAACTTGGCGTTACCATGGAGATTCTTTATATTTTAAATTGACGTTTATAAAAATCTAACCTCAAATATGACATAACCGCAAAAATTATTTTTTGATTTAGCTTCTACGGCAATAAGAGAGCCCCCAAAAAGAGAAAAATCCAAACGGAAACCAAAAAAATCGGAAAAGTTAAATAAAACGGAAGAAAATGCAAAAGCAATTGAAGATAATTTGAGAGCAGATGAAATTGCAAATAATGAAGATATTAAAACTGAGAAAACTAAAGAATCAACATTGTATGAAAAGAAGGTTTTGGCTGATTGTGCTGAAAAAGATGAAATCTTAATTCAAAAGGAAATTGAACCAGGAGCTGATACGGAAGAGGAAGGTGAAAGTACATTCACGTTGATTAATTATAATCGTGCGCCGAGAATTAAACGAAAATGTAACATAGACGGGAATGTAAAGAAGGTGGGGAAAGTAACGAAAGTTAAAGAAGTTAAGAATTTAGATGTGTGTAACAATAAAATGATTTTATCTCCATCGAAATTAAATGCGAGTAAAAGGACTTTTGTCGAAAAAATTGATGGCAATGTGAAAAACGAGCAAGAAATTGAAAAAGAGAAGGAAAAAATTGAGGAGAATTTAAAAGTGCCATTAACTCCGAGGCTTTATGATGAAAATGAACTTTTAACTTTAAATTTTGCTAAGTTTACTCCAGAAAATATTCCAACAGTAAGTTTTTCTGATAGTCTTGATGTTAGTGGGGTTATGAAAGCAACTAGAAATTTGCTACCTTTATTAGATACCCCATTAAAGATTGAAAACACTTTATTAATACCAAAAACGCCGGGAATTAGTACCCCAAATAATATTAAAGAAACTCCAATTACTAAAATGATTAATGAGCATTGTGAAAATATTGATTTAGTCGATATTGAAACTCCAAAAATTTTAATTACACCTAGTATAGGAATAACGCCCTATGTTAATCGCCGAACGGATTATTCAACAAGTTCGTCTTATTATCAACCCAGTGATACAGAACAAAATAAATCAATTGAACAATTAATTGAGGAAACAAAGAGAGATAAAAAAATAATCGTTGAAAAAGAAAATGATGCTAATAAGAATGATTTAACATCGATTGTTAATAAATTAAATAGTTTTAATAAAAATGTTATTGGAAGAAAAAATTTAAGTTTAGTGACAAAAGTTGATACAGTTTCTTTTGGCGATTCAGAAAGTGAAACTGATTTTATAGATAATGAAATAAACGATGAAGAAAGTAAGTGTGAATCAAAAAAAAATGTAACTGTCATTCAAAATGAGAAGGAAGGTGGGAAAAGTAGATATTCTTTAAGATCGCGTAGTAAAGAGGATGCAAAAAAAGTCGATGATAAAAATAATAAAAATGATTCGTTAGAAAAAGAGGAAATAAACGCTCCTGAATTTCAACTTTTAGATCCAAAAGATAAAATTTTAAGAGAATTAGAGAAAAAACGACAAGAAACGATTGCATTGATTAAAAAGCCTGAATTACAAAGTAAAACCACTTCAAAAAGTAATCCAAAAAAAGAAATTGTTGATAATAAAAAATTAAATGATGAAAAAACTGTTTTAAAATCACAAGAAATTAAGAAACCAGTTAAAGCGAAAAGTAATCCAAAACCACAAAAAACAACAACAAGAAAAGGAAATCAAAGAAAGGTTAATAAAAATGTGACAAAAGTAATTAATATAGTTGGAGATCCCGAAAAAAATGATTCAAACTTAATAAATCCTTTAAATTACGTTGAAGCACATCTAGGTAATAACTCAAACGATAATAAAAAAAAATACGAATCGAATCAAGAACTTTTAGTAAGAGATTTAAAAGAACGTGGAATTTATTTGCTTCCTAAAAACAAAAAAGAAATAATTTTAGAACCTCCCAACGATAATTCATCAACTGAATTAATAAATGTAGAAATAAAAAACGTTTTACCATTAAAAAAACGTGATAGTAATAAATCTTTCGAAATTAACACCGAAACTAACATACAAGATAAAAACAACTTATTACAAGATGATTTAAATTTAACCGATTCATTTATCGATGATAAAGAGCCGATAATTTTTAGTGATAACTTAAAATTATTAGATTATATCATATTTCACGATCCAAATGAATCAAATAAAAAAACCTTACAAGATTACGACTTAAAATGTCTCGATAAAACTTATAATGTTCCCGTTTATTGGGAAGAATATAAATTCGACGATTCCCGCCCATTAAAAGTAACGAAAACCGATTTCTTTTTCGATTTAGAATTTAATTCGGAACAAAATCAAATTCAAACCAAAAATCAAACCAATACAAAAATAAATGAAAAAGTTAAAATTATTAATGATGTAACAGTTCAAAAAAAATTTAACCCACTCGAATGTTTATACAAACAATTAATGAAAAATAATACGACGGTAACTCCGATTGATAGTATCCAATCGAATTCGTCACCTCTTGAGAATTTGTATAATGATTCGGAGAAGATTGTTGAATCTGGGAAGAAATATCGAAGGAAATCTCTTGAGTTAAATAAAAAATCGACGTTGGTTCCAGCGAAAAAATCAAATAGAAGTGAATCTGTGGTTGATGTTAAAAGTACCAAAAAGAAATCTTTAGATTTGATGGATATAGCGATTGTTGGTGAGAAATTTCCCAAAACCGATGAAACCAATACTAAACGAAAAGCTGATGAAGTTGTTGCATCTGAAAAGAATAAATGCCCGAAATTATGCGATAATTTATTGTCGGGATTGAATGTTGAACATTTTTTATCACAAATTCACAAAGATTAAGGTTAAGTTAAAAATAATTATTTATTGTTTAAAGTTTTGTTTAAAATTAAGATTTTTTTTTTAAGTTATAATAAAGCGTGCATATATTTGTATGTATTATAAAAACGTATTATTACATTAGTGCATTATTATTTTAAATTTATAAATAAGATTATAACAATGATTATTGAAGATTTAAGTTGGTAGTATGTAATTGAATTTCTTTTTATGTTTATTTTCATAAAAAATTGTATATTATGATTATCTTGATTGATCTTACCTTAGATTAAAATTCTAATTTTTTAAAGAAAAATGATTTAAAATAAAATCATTTTCTTTCTAATAAAAGTAATTTTTTTTAAATTTAAGTTGGTAGCCATTATAAGATGTTCTATTGTTTAAAATGTTCGTTATGATCGTTTTTAACATTTTTTTAGTGAAAATCGGTTTGTTTAAATAATTTAGACAGCTTAGTTGTGTTTATTTATTTCGATTTTGAAGATTCCCAACGATAAATAGAACGAAGACACCCCAACGGGATTATGGTAAGTCTTTGAAATTATTTGTAAAAATTGAGGTTAGGATTTCATTCGATTTACTAATCGATTTTTTTAAACCTTTAAAGCTTACAAGGTCTCACGTTTTGCTTTAACCGCTTTAACGCAAAGTTTTTGTTATTATCCAAATTTACAATTTTGTCTCCTATTTAAATTGTCATGTTTAGAAAGCGTTTTAAAAGTTTGGCAATTACTTCATAGATGGCGCACTTGTAATAAAATTTTAATTGGATTTTTGGACTAAAATTAAATTAATATCGAATTAATTAGCTATCACTACAGTTATTAATTATTATTTAAATAACAAGTAGATATGTCAGATTTTTCAAAACATTCCTTTTCAAGATGATTGAATTTTTAAAACAAAACTGACCTAACCTAACATTCTTTCTCGGGATGATTGACGTTTCAAATCTAACCTTACTTAACATACAATTTTTGTAGAATTCCCTGGAATGATTGAACGGAAATCGATTTATTTATTTCTTTCCCTTTTTTTGGTTGATTTCCCAATAATTAAACTTATTTTTTATTATTAATGTTAATAGCTTTTTAACAAAAGAAATATTAAGAAACTTGGGAAAAAATCAAGAATCATCATGTGGCTTAAAAATCGACCATTTTTTTTAATCAATGTGACCCAAAAAACTGCGGAAAAGTGACTAACACTAGATTAACTACAGTTATAAAACTTCTATTATATGATAACTAACTTCAGATTTAAAATGTCAACCTCAATTTTGACATATTTGTAATCTTCATTAAAAATCCTTTAAAATGAATACAAACACGACATATTTATCTTCAATATTAATGAAGTTATGGTCAACTTCCGGTTAAGAATGTCAACATCAATTTTGACATATTTGTAATCTTCATTAAAAATCCTTTAAAATGAGTACAAACGCGACATATTTATCTTCAATATTAATGAAGTTATGGTCAACTTCCGGTTAAGAATGTCAACGTCAATTTTGACATATTTGTAATCGTCGTGAAAAATCCTTTAAAATGAGTCCAAACATGATACGTTTAATTCCAATATTACTCGAGATATAAGCAACTTCCGGTTTGAAATGTCAATGTCATTTTGGCATATTCTTAATTTTTATAAAATGTCTTGATATTTGTCACAAAAACAAAAATATAATAAAAATTAAGGTTGGTATTAATATTTAAAAGTTAAATTGCTATCTTCATTGTTGCTAACTTCGGGTTTAATGTTTTTTATTCTATCTTTTTTATTTTTTGAGATAAGTCATCTTCGGACTCATTTTAAAGGTTGTTTAATGAAGATGACAAATATGTCAAAATTGATGTTGACGTTTCAAACCGGAAGTGATTGTATTTCCATTGATATTAAAGTTAAATATGTCGAGTTTGGATTCATTTTAAAGGATTTTTTATGAAGTTGACAAATATGTCAAAATTAAAAATTGAAAGTTCGAACTTTCTGGTTTTTTGAGATAAATGCGTCAAGTTTGGACTCACTTTAAAGGTGATTTTATGAAGATTACGAATATAATAATAAAATTTTATACTAACATCTAGAAAACGACACTGGCTCGAAATTTATTATTTAATTCAAAATAAAAAATTATTTTGCATTATCATTTACTTTATTACAATTAATTACATATGTCAACAAAAAGAAACAACCTTACCTTTAACAACAATTATTTTCATTTTAGAACACATCTCATTTTATATAGAAAAAAAAATAATTTTTCTATTTCTCGTCACTTTCAAGTTGTGTTTATGGTTGTTTTTGGCTGCCAATGTTTTTCTTCATAAAACTGAGGGTCGGTAATCGTTAAAGCGGATCTTTTATAGAAGTAATAATAAATTGGAGAAACTAAAAAAAAATTTTAAAGCCTTTTTCATTTATAAAGTTGGTAATCTTACAAAATCGGTGTGTTATATACATAATGTACAGTCCTATAGACCAATTATGTTTAAAGGGATCCTTCCATCGAAGTGTTAAAACCCATATATACAGAATTGTGGTTAAAATGAAGTAAATGGTGCATATTATTATTGTAAATCTGAATTTGTCATAAAGTAAACCAACTAATCCTACCTAAAAAGTATTATATTAGGAATTAGGATGGATTAATCTTATTTGACCTTTGACATTTTAGAAATATAATCAGAGAAAATAATAAAAAGAAACTTACCTGAAATACGTATGTTGAAAATATTAATAACAATAAGATTGATAGAGCCAAAACAATAAAAATATCTTGTATTCTAAAATTGTTGTTAATAAAAAGTGAATTTTTTAATAAAAAATTAAACTTACATGAATAAAACGAGTACAACAGCGTTGTATTTCCTCGCTAAAACCCCAAATGTATTTATACAAAGATCACTGGACAACAAAAAAGTTTGTATTGCGAATATCAATTTGTATTTGTTATTTGTCAGTTTCATTTTGGCCCGCTAATTCTTCGTCTTTTCCTCTTTTACTACACGAACACTTTCATTGCTTTAATTATCACATTATCGAAAGATTTTCCAACGAAATATTTCCCTCAAAAAGCTTCGAAATGCAAACATACAAGTTGATTTATGTATGCCGTTCGAGATATTGAATTTTCCACCAATCAATTGCGCAAGCGCAATGTCAAAACGTCAATATAATTCTAAACATAACCTAAAAAGCACGAAAAAATAGAAAATTTACAAAATAATTTAGAAGAATCGGCTTTAAAATAAAGAGAGATTAAAAAATTTAAAAAGAAAGAAGGAAAACGTTGTGGAGAGGATTAATTTTCTTATACAAATTGGCAACATTGATTGTTATTTTTATTTAAACGTCAAAAATAAACAAAACGTTGAGGTTATGTAAAGTGATTATTAATTTATATAAAAAAATAACAATACTGTTTAATAACATGTTTTTAGATGTTCTTAATAATTTTTCTTTGTGATGTAGGAAACGTGACGTCATTGGAGGAAAAGTATAATATTATAATATACAGGTGCCCATTATGTATGGAATATAGTATACAGGCACGGGACTGCCTATCCCGTAACATTTTATACAAAAGTTGTTTAATATTTTCAATTAGTCAACTTCTGGTTAGAAATGTCAAAGTCAATTTTGACATATTTGTAATTGTCGTGAAAAATCCTTTAAAATGAGCCCAAACATGATACGTTTAATTCCAACAGTAATCGAGATATAAGTAACTTCCGGTTTGAAATGTCAATGTCATTTTGACAAATTCTTCATTTTTGTAAAATGTCTTTTAAATTTATCACAAAAACAAAAATAAAATTAAAAATTAAGGTTGGTATTAATATTTAATAATTAAATTGCTATCTTCATTGTTGCTAACTTCGGGTTTAACGTTTTTTTATTCAAACTTTTTTGAGATAAGTGCGTCATGTTTGGACTCATTTTAAAGGTATTTTTAATAAAGAATACATCATGAAAGAACACCATGAAGTTGTCCATTTGTCTATTATATGATAACTAACTTCAGATTTAAAATGTCAACCTTAATTTTGACATATTTGTAATCTTCATTAAAAATCCTTTAAAATGAGTACAAACACGACATATTTATCTTCAATATTAATGAAGTTATAGTCAACTTCCGGTTAGAAATGTCAAAGTCAATTTTGACATATTTGTAATGGTCCTGAAAAATCCTTTAAAATGAGCCCAAACATGATATGTTTAATTCCAATATTACTCGAGATATAAGCAACTTCCGGTTTGAAATATCATTTTGACAAATTCTTAATATTTATAAAATGTCTTAAAATTTATTACAAAAACAAAAGAACAATAAAAAAATGAAGAATTAAGGTTGGTATTAATATTTAAAAATTAAATTGGTATCTTCATTGTTGCTAACTTCCGATTTAATGTTTTTTCTTCTAACTTTTTTGTTTTTTGAGATAAATGCGTCATGTTTGGACTCATTTTAAAGGTTTTTTAATAAAGAATACATCATGAAAGAACACCATGAAGTTATCCATTTGTCTATTATATGATAACTAACTTCAAATTTAAAATGTCACGTAACTGGTTGGGTAGAACTTTTTCAGGTTCCACTATTCGTAGAGGTTTGAAATTTTGGCAGCATGGGTTGTTCATTCGGAACTTTCAATCTAAAATATTTTCAAGATGGCCGCCACTTCCGGTCTACCGAAAGTAGGCCATAACTTCGTTATTTTAAATGGAATGCTATAGTTTTTATTACACCATTTAATTGTAAGTAGTGTTTTTCGTTTTCGAGTTATTTGGAGTTTGGCGTATCTTATACAGGTGGTCAAAAATTGAATTACTGTTTCTCCACATTCAATGGCGAGAAAGTCGAAAATTTTAAATAGAACGCCCCATATTTTTTTAGCTTGTCAGAAAGGGAATTTAATTCTTTACAAATTATTTATAAATATTCCTCTAAGACGCCCGGCTAAACCTAAAACATTCTAGTTCTAGTTTTAATTATTATTTAACCCTATATTCTTGTATATTTTAAATATAATTTTTTGATTTAATCTACTTACATACCTTGCTTATAATTTCATCCATTTACCCATTTTGAATTAAATACAACCTTTAAATCCAATTAATTATGTGTTTTTCATTAAAAAAAACTTAAGTTCGACGTCAATTTTGAGAAGCAACTGCAATGGCAATGTTGGGGTCTTAATCACCATGGTAACCGAGTCAAGTTGGATAACCTTAAAATAATAAAATTTTATTTCGATTTTTTTTATCAATTCTAACCTAATTTTTATTAATTTTAAAACAATTCGAATTCTTTACGATTATCTCGCATTTTTTTAAATATCTTTTTATTTTTGTGTATTGCTTCTTAAGTGAAATACACTGTAAATAAAAACATAGAAATGTCAATTCTTCCAACGACGTCACAGCAAGGCCTTTACGGGGGATACATTTAAAATAACAGCGTTTATAGGGGCTTGGATAACCTTATACAATATGTTTACTCAACGGATCTTGACCTAGAAACAATTCGGTTTAGCCGCACGTCTCTCAAAACAGCTAAACCCGAATGATTCTTGACATTGCGCAAGCGCAATGTCAATATAATTCTAAACATAACCTAAAAAGCACGAAAAAATGGAAAATTTACAAAATAATTTAGAAGAATCGGCTTTAAAACGAAAAGAGAGATTAAAAAATTTAAAAAGAAAGAAGGAAAATGATGTTGAGAACCCAGAAAATAAGAATTTAGAGGAATTACCCAAGTAATAATTAAAATAAATTAACATAACCTTAAATAATTTTGTATTTATAATTTAAACAAATTTAGGCCTAAATTTCGGAGTTACAACCCAAACGCGGAGGAATTGGTTGAAAATAAAGTTGCAGAACCTAAATTGATTAATATAAAGGACGAAATACAAGATCAATTAGATGCGGCTAAATCAAAAGTGGTTTTAGAAGAACTCGACATAACTACATTAGCTCCTAGAAAACCCGATTGGGATTTAAAAAGGGACGTTTCAAAAAAACTCGAAAAATTAGAAAGAAGAACAAGAAAAGCTATCGCTGAAATAATCAGGGAACGATTAAAAGAAAAACAAGCTGATTTAGCATCGATCGTAAATACAGCAACAGATTCACCAAACAACACTTATACATAGATAAAAACGTGTATTTATAGAAAAAAAATTACAATTTATATTTGCTAACATTCTTTTTTTGAATAAATACCTCAACGAAACCAATTGCGGTAATAAAATTACTTAAAAAATAACCTAAAATCGCTCCAAACGAGCAAGGAATAGGCCACACTTGCCAATCTCGATCCCAATCTAACGGGATAACGAAAGCGCCAAACCACGCTCCGAGGAATGTACCACAAACATTTTGCATTAAACTTTGGCTAAAAACACTTTCCTCATACCATTTGTGCTTAATAAAATCAATAATAAATCGTCCACTTAAGTTTAAACACACCGGTAAGGTAGTTATTGTTGCTAATAACACCGAAAACATTAATGTACCCTCAAATTGTCCAACAGGTTCAGCTCCGAGTAATACTGCCACAATAAAAAAAGTTAATATCGATGTAATTATTAATGTTGCTCCAAGAAAAACATTTTTCAATCTTATTTTGTAAGATTTATGAACGATGTAAATAGATTTTCCGAATTCTAAGAACGATAAGGTTAGAATCCAAGGGAATCCTTCGTATTTTCCTATTTTGTATAATCCTCCAAAGAAAAAAAGGAAAATTATTGAGAACATGTAAAAACATGTTATTAAACAGTATTGGCGGGTGTTTATGAAAAGAGATTTGTGCATTTTTTATATTAATTAATGATCACTTTACATAACCTCAATGTTTTATTTATTTTTGACGTTTAAATAAAAATGACAAACAATGTTGCCAACTTTTATGTAAAAATTAAATAAAAATATATTTTGTTCACCTAACTTAGATACGAGTGTTGAAAGTTGTTATTTGCATTCACTCTGCTGACTTTCATAAAAAAGAGTGAGTGAAAATTTTTTTCAACCACTGTTTGCTAAATATAAAACTTTTAAAGGAACAACTCTTTGTTTAAACGTAACAGATGTTAACTAAAAAACGGTGGACAGCACACGTGGAAAGTTAATTAAGTATTTCACTTGTATAAATTATTAATTTTAATCAATTTTATGCATAATGATGACAATTTGACACAAATGCAGCGCCATCTATCCATTTATATAAAAAATAAAATGTGTCAATTTGACATATTCAAGTTTCCAAAACATATTTTTAGGTTATAAAATTACTTGAAATGGCAACAACAAATTTCTGTTCAAATTCAGAAACATCAGAAAATTGTATGTAATTAATTAACAATTAAATTTCTGTAAAAACCCTTTCATTAATGCTAACTTCAATAAGTGCAGTTCACGAGTGTACACACGAGGTGGTTAAAGCTCTGGTGAAATGTGCAAATTTCGCTGCAATAAAACACAAGGATCAAAGAAGAAAAGATATGGCAGCCACACCTTACATAAACCACCCAATCGGTTTAACAATCAATTCAAATTAATCACAATAATATTTTGTTTAAATTTTAGGAGTAGCTTTTATTTTAACCAATGAAGCTGATGTTACAGACCCTTCAGTTATTCAAGCAGCTTTATTACATGATACAGTCGAAGATACAGAATGCACGTTTGAAGAGATTGAATTAAACTTTGGAAGTAAAGTAATGAAAATCGTTAAAGAATGCACTGACGATAAAACTTTACCGAGTGATGTACGGAAACAACTACAAATTGAAACAGCCCCAAAATCCTCTAAAGAAGCCAAATTAGTGAAATTAGCCGACAAATTACATAATTTAAGGGATTTAGAAATGCAAACACCACTAGGTTGGACCGACCAAAGAGTAAAACAATATTACATTTTTGCCAGAAATGTTTGTAACGGCTTAAAAGGTGTTAATACAAAGTTAGATGTTTTATTAGATGAATTGTTAAAGAAATACGGTGCTTAAATTATATCAAAAAATAAATTAATTAAAAATAAATTAATTAATTTCATCTTTTCCCTCATAGATGTCGCCCCTTGTTAAACGTCATTCATATCTGTCAAAAACGTCATTCACGTCATTATTTATATTTTTCTCGTTTAATAACATACATAGATAAGGTTTTACACAAAAATGTACTTCAAAATGTTTACGTCCGATTTCATCGGACAAAATCGTACAATTTCCGTTATTTTAATCGATTGATCGTAACATAACCTACAAAAACCCGAAAGTACCGTTTCTTTTCGATTTTAATTAACATATGGTGTATTTAAAAAAATGTTGTCCGCTTTAAAACGTTTCGCGAGCAAAAATGAGACTCAAAATGCACCGGCACCATCGCAAAATCGCCCCCCGGGACATCAAGCAATGTCTTCTTTATTACAAAGAAAATTTGCGAAAGGAGTTCAATATAACAGTAAGAAATGAATTGGTTTAAAAAATTAAGATTAATTTGGTTCTGTTTTAAGTGAAAATTATAATCAAAGGAGATAGAAATGTTGGAAAAACGTGTTTGTTTCATCGCTTGCAAGGTAAAAAGTTTTTCGAAGAATACATTCCAACAGAAGAAATCCAAGTTACATCAATCCAATGGAATTATAAAGCCACTGATGATGTGGTTAAAGTTGAAGTTTGGGACGTCGTCGATAGAGGTAAAAAAAAGAAGAGATTCGATGGGTTAAAACTGGAAAACGCCCAATTAGAACTTCCCGAAGAAACGGCGTTAGATGCCGAATTTTTGGACGTTTACAAAGGAACTAACGGAGTGATTATGCTGATGGATTTAACGAAAAGTTGGACCTTCGAATATGTACAAAGAGAAATGGTTAAAGTCCCATCTCATATTCCAGTTATCATTATGGCTAATCATTGTGATATGGCTCATCATAGAACTGTAACAACAGACCATGTTCTTTATTATATCGAATCTATTTCAGGGTAAATATTAATGATGACTTAAAAAACTTTAATTAGTTTAATTTTGGAAAAATTCAAGAATCATCATGTGGCTTAAAAATCGACGATTTTTTTTTAATCAATGTGAAATGACCCAAAAAATACATTAAAAATAAAAAGAAAATGTAGAATATACCGAAAAATCACGTTAAAGTTTCGATGTGACGTCACGTTTTGTGACGTCACAAGCAATGTTAACCCCAGGTTTTTATACAGGGTGGTCCCCTTGGTAATTGTTAATAATAACGAAGCTAATTTCGTTTCTCTTTCATAATTTCTCTTACATTATGAACATAAAAATTGGTACATTTTGGTATTAGTTTTGATCTATCTTTCAGATGGCGCTGCCTACCCTACAAAAATTGCCTTAAAAGTAGTCATATCTTTTTCATCATTAAAATGTTTGCAACTCACACAACTTGAAACAGTTTCTCAAACATTTTTGCATAAATTTCGTACACCTACCAACCTTCTCTAAAATTCACCATGTATAAGTGGTTGTCTAAGTTTATAGGCAGACATACTGCGTATTACGTCATTGACAGAAAATAATTCAACTTAATTTTTGATATAAATTCACATATCATAAACTAATTGGCGGAAACTAAAGTAGCAATTGATTTATGATATATTAGTGAAGACACTTCAACTCTCACTAAACATAGCCTAGCCTTGAGGTTGCGCGCGCAATCTGCCGTCACTTACGTCACGAAACACTCCCGCTCTTACTCCTCGCCCACAAACTAAAATCAAAGTATTGTAGTATAGGATCGTAGACAACCTCTTATATAAAAACCTTGATGACCTTGAAACCTTGATCTTGAAAATCAATCTGATAAACTTAAAAGTAGTAAAGTTATGGGCGCGTTCACCAACTGTCAACGTTTGCAAACGAAGACCAAACTGTTGGCAACATTTCTGGTGAACGCAACGCTAACTTCAAACGTGTTTGGTAAACGGCGGCCATTTTATCAATCGTATGATTTTTCCGTTAGCAAACGCAAACGGTGTTTGCTGTTTGTGTCATTTTAAATTTAAAATCAACAAAAAAGAATGACAGAAGCCCGAAATTATTTATTCAATAGGTTAGTGTATACTATCTTTGAAAATGAAGAAATTCATGATAAATTGAGCGGTACGATCTATAAATTAATTAAAATTGTAAATAATTGTCATTAAAGCGCCATCTGTTGTTATCAAACCATATGTCTATAGAAAAATTGGCCGTTCACCAAATCACCAACGCAATCGTAACCCGTTTGCGTTTGCCAACGTAAACGGAATTCTTTGGTGAACGCGCCCATTTACTAGGTGAGATTACAACGTATATTTTCGGATGAAACACTCTTGTTTTTCTTAGGCTTTCGATGCATAACGACTGACTACCTGTCGTTAGATAGACTGTGTGTCAATAGACACTATATTAATATTAGAACTAACTCTAAATCGAAAACTAGAAACATTCGGATTTAGTTGAATATTAGATTTAGTTAAACCTATATAGAAGGTACCCATGTTTATGGGACTCAAAATCAAAAAATTATTTAATCAAAAGCTTGTAAAATTGTCTAGCAGTATTTAGCTTTCTGCCAGCAATATTTAATCTTCTACAAGCAGTATTAGTATTCTGGTATCAATTTGTAGTCTATTGGTAGCAGTACCTAGCCTTGTATAAACAATATCTATCTTTTTAAGCAGTTTCTAGTATTGTATAGGTAGTATTTATCTTCCGCAAGGAATTTTTGGTCCTCTATAGGAAGTATTTAGTCTTCTGCAAGCAGTATTAGTATTCTGGAACCAATTCCTTGGCTATTGGTAGCAGTACCTAGCCTTCCATAGACAATATTTATCTTCTGCAAACAGTTTCTAGTATTGTATAGGTAGTATTTGTCTTCTGCAAGGAGTTTTTAGTCTTCTGCCGGCAGTATTTAGTCTTCTACAAGTAGTATTGGTATTCTGCAACCAATTTGTAGTCTATTGGTTGCAGTACTTAGGTTTCTATAGACAATATCTACCTTTTTAACCAGTTTCTAGTATTATATAGGTAGTATTTGTCTTCCGCAAGGAATTTTTGGTCCTCTATAGGAAGTATTTAGTCTTCTGCAAGCAGTATTAGTATTCTGGAACCAATTCCTTGGCTACTGATAGCATTCCATAGACAATATTTATCTTCTGCAAACAGTTTCTAGTATTGTATAGGTAGTATGTGTCTTCCGCAAGGAGTTTTTAGTCTTCTGCCGGCAGTATTTAGTCTTCTACAAGTAGTATTGGCCAGATATTAGGTTTATTATAGCGGTTAAACAAGTGCGACACGACGCCACAAGTCTACGTGTATAAGCGGTTAAGCTCCGCCGCATGCGACAACTCTTGCGGCAGCTCTGGCGGCACCGCCGCAAGAATCTAATGCATGTAACATTTAACTAGATCTAACACTAGAACTAGAAACATTCGGGTTTAGCCGTCTTGAGAGACGTGCGGCTAAACCCGAATGATTCTAGTTCTAGGTCTTGTATTAGTTGTAGACCAAAATTAGAACTAACAGACCGAAAACTAGAAACATTCGGATTTAGCCCCACGTCTCTCAAGACGGCTAAGTTCTAGTTTTAATTGTTGATTTTAATGTCAAAACCTAATTGACATGTCAACCTCAATTTTTTCCAGCAATTGACGTTCTAACTGTCAAATTTGATTATTTTACATTATACGAAGATTTTAATGTCAAAAATGACATTCCAAATGACATGTCAACCTCAATTTTTGCTACCAATTCACGTTCTAATTGTCAAATTTGCTGATTTTGCATTACACGAAGATTTTAATATCAACAGTGACATTTGAATGACATCTTAAAGATTAAATTTATAATTTTCTAACAGTTTGATATTCTAATTGACATGTCAACCTCAATTTTTTCCAGCAATTGACGTTCTAACTGTCAAATTTGATTATTTTGCATCACACGAAGATTTTAATGTCAAAAATGACATTTAGATGACATCTCAAAGATTAAATTTACAATTTTCTTACAGTTTGACATTCCAAATGATATCTCAACCTCAATTTTTGCTACCAATTGACGTTCTAACTGTCAAATTTGATGATTTTGCATCACACGAAGATTTTAATATCAACAGTGACATTTGAATGACATCTTAAAGATTAAATTTATAATTTTCTAACAGTTTGATATTCTAATTGACACGTCAACCTCAATTTTTTCCAGCAATTGACGTTCTAACTGTCAAATTTGATTATTTTGCATCACACGAAGATTTTAATGTCAAAAATGACATTTAGATGACATCTCAAAGATTAAATTTACAATTTTCTTACAGTTTGACATTCCAAATGATATCTCAACCTCAATTTTTGCTACCAATTGACGTTCTAACTGTCAAATTTGATAATTGTTTCTTCCAGCAGTATTTAATCTTCTGCAAGCAGGTTGTCATCTTTTCTAGTAGCATATAGCGCTCTGAAAGCAGTTAGTAGTATTATTGAAGCAATATTTCGTCTTTCCAATCAGTTTGTAGTTGTTTGTTAGCACTATCTAGTCTTCTCCAAACAGATTGTAACCTTTTCCACCAGTATCTAGCATTTTGGAAGCAGTGGGTACCTTTTTTGGAGAGCATATCTCTTCTTTCCAAGCAATTATTAATCTTTTCCAGCAGTACCTAACATTCTGGAAGCAGTAGGTAGCTTTTTGGAATACATATCTCTTTTCCAAACAATTATTAAAGTTTTTGAAAGCAATAAGTGGCCTTGGAAGCAGTATTCTGCATGTCCAAGTAGGTCAAAACCTTTAACACCAGTGTTTAACGTTCTGGAAGCAATTGGTATTATTTTGAAAACAGTATCTAGCATTTTAGAAGCAGTAAGTAACTTTTTGAAATACTATTTCCTCTTTCCAAGCAGGTTTTAGTCTTTTACTAGCAGTATTTAATCTTCTGATAGCAATAATTAGTCTTTTGCCAACATTATCTAGCATTCAGGAACCAATAAGTTAAAGAGGGTCCCTGCCCTCTCTTCAGGTATAGATTTTAGGTTGGGTTGGGCGATTTAATCAAGGTGTAGTAAGTTTTACACTTTTCCGCAGTTTTTTTTTATTTGTACTGGCTTACTTGAGTGATTTCTCGTCGATTAAAAAAAAATTGTCGATTTTTAAGCGACATGATGATTCTTGAATTATACCTTAATTCTTTTTAGACAACGTTCTGCACAAATTCGTTACACTGAATCTTCAATGCGAAACGGGTTTGGTTTAAAGTTTCTCCATAAATTTTTTAATCTCCCTTTTCTTCAACTTCAAAAAGAAACGTTATTAAAACAATTAGAAAGAAACGAATCTGAAACTTCAGCAACCGTACAAGAATTAGATTTATTCGCCGAATCGGACGAAGCTGACTACGCCAAATTCATAGAAAACTTAACGCGTAAACGACGCGAAATCGCGGACAATAATGCAAACATTCCAGCCCCGATGATGGTCATCCCACAATCGGCGTCCGTCCAACAACTATCTCAACAAGCCGTAACGGACATGAAAAGATCTCAAAGTGCATCAATTATAATTGGGGGAGGAAAACCGATACCTTACGCCGGAAACACTTTGAAAAAACCAACAGTATCAAACTCAAACTCAAAAAGTTCAAGTTTAAGCTCTGGATTTAAAGATGGTCTTCCAGAAAACGTCGTCCTAAAAAAACTTGATTCGTCCACGACCAACCCGATAACTTCACTCGAAGAATTTTGCCCCGACGGTGATCAATTAGATCGAAGCTTTCTTGATGATGTCCATTCAACACCTCAAACAAACAATTCAAATGCAATCGATGACTCAGATAGCGACCAAGATACCGGAAATCCACTCGTTTCCGAATTCCAAGATGATTTCGATCCTGAAGTTGAAATCGAAGCTCCAAAAGTGAACATTCAAGGCGCCCCAGAAGAACGTCGACCATCAGCCATCGTCGGTGGTAGCAGTGAAAACGAAAATAAAACCGAAATTGAAGAAGATATGCGTCAAACTAACGACGAATTAGATTCAACAATAAACAGTGAAATCTCTGAGATTACATCAGAAGCTTTTGATACATGGATGGGGGCTGATACTAAATGGAGACGATCACCTGAAGGTGGCGAAGATACTACAGCCGTTAGTCAAACTTTGGATTATAGTGGAAGTACCGTTTATGATGATAGCACAAGTGTAACGTCATCTAATGTTCATATGGAATTATTAAGTTCAAAGCATAGTAATCGGAGTTTAACTCCAAATCGGAGTGGAGAAAGTGATAACGAAGGTGGAAAAGGAGTTAAAAAAGAAAGAAAAAAAAAGGATAAAGAAAAAGGTGACCGAAAACACAAACATAAAAAATCAAAAGATAAGGATAAAGAGGTGGGAAAGAGTGATCGGAAACATAAAAGAAGATCTCGAGATGAGACTAGTTCGAGAAGGGATGAACTTGAAGAATTTTTAAATGGATCTGCTAGCCCGTGTATGGATTCTGCGTACGAAGCTATATAGCGTATGCCTGTTTTAATTAAATGTAGGTATTTTGATATTTAAAATAATGAATCAAACATAACCTAATATCAATTATAATTCCAATGTTAATGAAAAAATGTTATTATTATTGTTTTTTTTTTATGTACGTAACTAATTAAAAATAATTAACTAATTGTTATCTGTGCATTGTCGTTATTTAAATAATCATGTATCGTAAGCTTCTTATTAAGAATTGTAATTCAATTGAATAAATTATTATTCAAAATATCTTTTTTATTTAATATATATTTATATATATTTTATTTATATAATTATACAAGTTGGCAACATTGGTTGTCATTTTTATTTAAACGTCAAAAATAAACAAAACGTTGAGGTTATGTAAAGTGATTATTTATTTATATAAAAATGTTCTCAACAATTTTCTAATTTGGACGATTAAACAAAATAGGAAAATACAAAGGATTCTTGTTCTAGGTTTTGTGTTAGTTCTAACGATAGTGCTAGTCTAAAACTAGAACTAACACTAGACCAAGAACTAAAAACATTCGGATTTAGCCCCACTGGCTAACCCAACCTGGAATTTACAACCCAATCCATGTCCAACCCGACTTTTGAGAAATTCGCACTGGCTTAAATATTAATTAACCTAACTCAAAGTGGAATTTCTATGCAAAATTCTGAAATAAATCAGTAAACCCCCCTCTAAAAAGATATGTCGCATCTGGGTGACAAAGAATCGAGTGTTCTAGCAGCAATTTGTAAATCTGTAATGGAAGGGACACAGAAAGATATCACTCAACAGAAGAATAGTTTCAGTAAATAGTCTTCAGCCAGTAGTATTGTAATCTTTAAGCACTTAGTAGTGTTTTGGCAACAATATATAGTCTTCTGAAAACATTAAATAGTCTTTGCCAACAATATCTAGCTTTCTCCAAGCAATTAGTAGTCTTTCCAACAATATTTAGCATTCTGAAAGTAGTTAATAGTTTTTTGAAAACAGTGTCTTGTCTTTCCAAGCAGATAATAGTTTCTCCCAGCAGTAGTTAGTCTTCTCCAAACAAATTGTAATCTTTTCTAGTAGTATATAGTGCTCTGAAAGCAGTTAGTAGTATTATGGAAGCAATATTTCATCTTTCCAATCAGTTTGTAGTTCTTTGTTAGCACTATCTAGTCTTCTCCAAGCAGATTGTAATCTTTTCCACCAATATCTAGCATTTTGGAAGCAGTAAGTACCTTTTTTAGAGAGCATATCTCTTCTTTCCAAGCAGTTATTAGTCTTTTCCAGCAGTATCTAACATTCTGCAAGCAGTAAGTAGCTTTTTGGAATGCATATCTTTTTTCCAAACAATTATTAAAGTCTTTGAAAGCAACAAGTGGTCTTGGAAGCAGTATTCCGCATGTCCAAGTAGGTCAAAACCTTTAACACCAGTGTTTAACGTTCTGGAAGCAAATGGTATTATTTTTAAAACAGTATCTAATCTTTTCCAAGTAAGTTGTGGACTTTTCCTGCAGTATCTAGCATTTTAGAAGCAGTAGGTAACTTTTTGAAATACTATTTCCTCTTTCCAAGCAGTTTTTAGTCTTTTACAGTTTTTTGCTAACAATATTTAACATTCAAGAACCAGTAAGTTAAACTAGAACTAACACTAGAACTAGAAACATTCGGGTTTAGCCGCACGTCTCTCAAGACGGCTAAACCCGAATGATTCTAGTTCTAGGTTCTGTGTTAGTGGTCTAGTGATAGTGTAAAACTAGAACTAACATTAGACCCAGAGATGCCAGATGCGCAATCTTGGAAATACCTAACTGTCGCATGAAAATTCCCTAGATTTATTAATTAGTTTTTCTTTTTTTCTGATTACAGGTCAAAAATTAAATAAACCATATTAAGCTGTTAATTTTAATTATCAAATATTCGTGTATTCACTTATTTCGTACTTAATTATTACGAAGAATAGCTAATTTTCAGATAGTAAGCATTATACAATACATGGAGCATAAATAATAATAATAAAAACAGCCACCAATATACATAAAATATAACTTTATTGTGTTTTATAGAAACATGTAATTTTACAAACTAAACATATTAATTTGATTGAGATCACGTTTTATAAAAGTTGAAAGGTATAATATTAGAAACTTGAAAGGATTGGCAACAGTCATTTGATGCGAAACGAATTACTGCAACTGCATTTAGAGCTTCACTGCTTATTTCCTTCTTCCCCTAAAATTTCCCAAAACTCTGCAACTTCCATTTTCAGTAAATCTTCCTAAACAATTCAGCTTAGTATAATATATATGTTAGTATAAACTTTTAACATAGAAACTTGTGATGGCATGTTACAAATGAAGTTTGCAAATTTAATTGAACTATTATTTCTAGGGACAAATCCCCAAATTTGGCATCACTGTTTTTGACAAATATGAATGACGTTTAATAAGGGGCGACATCTATGAGGGAAAAGATGAAATTAATTAATTTATTTTTTGATATAATTTAAGCACCGTATCTCTTTAACAATTCATCTAATAAAACGTCTAACTTTGTATTAACACCTTTTAAGCCGTTATAAACATTTCGGGCAAAACTGTAATATTGTTTTACTCTTTGCTCGGTCCACCCTCGTGGCGTTCGCATTTCTAAATCCCTTACATTATGTAATTTCTCGGCTAATTTCACTAATTTGGCTTCTTTAGAGGATTTCGGGGCTGTTTCAATTTGTTGTTGTTTCCGTACATCTCTCGGTAAACTTTTATCGCTGGTGCATTCTTTAACGATTTTCATTACTTTACTTCCAAAGTTTAATTCGATCTCTTCAAGCGTGCATTCTGTATCTTCGACTGTATCATGTAATAAAGCTGCTTGAATAACCGCAGCGTCTGTAACATCAGCTTCGTTGGTTAAAATAAAAGCGACTCCTAAAATTTAAACAAAATATTATTTTGATTAATTTGAATTGATTGTTAAACCGATTGGGTGGTTTATGTAAGGTGTAGCTGCCATATCTTTTCTTCTTTGATCCTTGTGTTTTATTGCAGCGAAAGTTGCACATTTCACCAGGGCTTTAACCACCTCGTGGGTACACTCGTGAACTGCACTTATTGAAGTTAGCATTATAGGGTTTTTACTGAAATTTTATTGTTAATTAATTACATACAATTTTCTGATGTTTCTGAATTTGAAGAGAAATTTGTTGTTGACATTTCAAATAATTTTATAACCTAAAAATTTGTTTTGAAACTAATATGTCAAATTGACACATTTCATTTTTTTATAAATAGATAGATGGCGCTATTTTAAATCGTTTTAATATTTAATATTATTATGTTTTAACATTTATTCTTATTAGCTTTAACACATATTTAACACACATTAATAAATATACTCTCGAAAATTCAAATACAAAGCTTAAGATAATCTGGGTCCATTTTAAATACCCCAACGAGACCAATTTACCCAAATTTACCAACGAAAATGTAATAACGTTGTAAATATGTTAGAATTCATTATGTATTGTTGACCGTTTACGTTTTTTATTGCATTAAATCCATGTAAAGTCGATACGAAATAATTTTGCAGAATTTTGACAGTGACATAACCTCAAATATAATTTTTCATTAATTTCTTATTGCAATTCATGTTTGTCCCGTTGAAATCACTGAACACGATAATCTTAGCATGTCAAGAACGAAAATCATCCATCATATGGGAGTTTTGATTAAAAATTGGACGAAAATCCGTAGATTAAATTTTTAAATATATTTTTGAAGCTGGACGTGGAAATCTAAAAGAAAATGTTCCGAAATCATCACAAACAAAGTTAAAGCAACAAAAATACAACATTTCACACATAAATATTGTTAAAATAAAAATTTAAATAATTTTTGATAAAATTTACTTGGTGACATTTGACATTTCGAAGTTGGCAATACCGGAGAAATTTAAATTACGAATTTCAAGTTGATGCGTTTAACCAATCAGAAAGCGTTATTTGAAACGTTCTTGCAATAAACAAACGAAACTGGTAGATTTTAGTGTGATTTCGAACGTGGTGAGGAGTGCATGCTAATTTTGTCCGCGATCATTTAAAAAACCACAACATGGTATTAACATAACCTCAACAATAATAAACTTATTATTTAATAAGTTAAATAAGAAGAGCATTTGAATTAAAATTATTCATCTTTAATAATAAACAAGAAAATTAAGTGGTTCCTGATCCAATTAATCCAGTATACCATTCCGAAGGATTATTCCAATCCAATCAATAATCATTGCTACCTTTTGAAGAGTCCAAGTTTCCTTAACCGAGAACTTCAGTAAGTTACAAGATAAGCTAAGTTATAATTTTCAATTTCATTATTATCCGTTTTTTTTAAAATATGTCAAATTGACACATTTCATTTTTTAGCGCTTTTTAAATCGTTTTAATATTCAATGTTATTATGTTGGAACATTTATTCTTATTAGGTTTAACACGTATTTAACACACTTTAATAAATATACTCTCGAAAGTTCGAATACAAAGCTTAGGATAATCTGGGGCCATTTTAAATACCCCAACGAGACCACAGGGATTCCCCGATTTTCCAATGATACGACTATATTTGACCATAGAAGAGCATATTGCTTAAAGTTCTAAAACAGAAGCTCATTGAACCAACAACAAAACTCTATACAGTCGAAACCTTCGCGGTATTTGTGCTAAAACTTGTGTAATTTCTAATAAACGAAATGTTCCGTGTGCGTTTCGTGTATTGTGTTGTAGAAACCACTTGGAATATTTGCTGCTCCTACCTATTGTTAATATTAAGTGGACGTCAAAGAGAAATTTCTTAATCGATATAAAGTTCTTTATTGAAAAATTTATGGAAAGAAATCCTTTGTTGGAGTTAAAAGCTAATATTTACATTATTGAAGTAATTTTTAATTCAAATTCATTTTTAATTATATAAAATAGAAGAATCGCACCAAACCATGGTTCTGTTAGGAGGTGAAAGATCTTGCCGAAGCTCTAGCAACGAGTACACGCGTGTCAGAAATGAAGTAAACGCGAAAATAAAAGCTAACAAAAAAGAATTCTGGATAA